TACAAAGTTATTAATGCGGATATATCTGGAGTTGAACATATTACATACGGGTGTAGTACGATAAGCGAAGATGATTCGCGACAGACCTTAATTGCGGGATGTGGGTAAATCACCGGTGGCAAATGATATTGACAATCGGTATTACCCTTTATACCTCCATGGTATTACATTGATATGAAAAGCGCCTAATATTGGTATCGGCCTTTGGCTTACTGTCAAGATGGGTCTGGTTCCTTCCTTTTCAGTGTAAGATTGACCTTTATGCAAATTGAGCTATTGTGAGGAACTGACTTGAGAAGTTTATTGCAGCATACCTGAATAGCCACGCACACTAATTCAAATATGACACAGTATACAAGATACAAGATTCTTTATTTGTGTATTTATATTTATGTCACCTACTAGGGGTAATGTTTTGATTGGTCAAACACTTGGTACTTGTGCATATAAGCTTGCAAATATGGATAATTTTTCATTCCTGATGATGACATAATTAATGTCGAAATATTGGATCCCGACACGATGGCGTGCATTTCGATACTTGGAGTATGTATCATAGGCCTACTATCTTCATTTGTGTCCTTCCTGAAAATCAGTTGGTACATCACATTGTAAAAAAAAGTGCAGGATAGATACAATAAATAATAATAATAATAATAATAATAATAATAATAATAATAATAATAATAATAATAATAATAATAATAATAATAATAATAATAATAATAATATAATTATTTTATTGACAGTATGAAAAACATTGCGTAAAAAACGACTTTTAAAATAACTTAAAATAAAAACATTTTAAAGCTTGTTCAAACTGGCTGTTAAAATTGTTTTTAAAAAAGAGTTATAGTGGGTTCAAAATCATTAAAACAGCGTTAAAAATTTAGAGTCGTTGATTACGCATTGTTTACATGTTATTTACGTTATATTCATTCATGATTTTACTCCGTGTTTATTTATTATTTATTTACATTTATTTACCCAGGGTAGCCCTAACTGTTAAAACACTGATTTCCATTGGGGCCCTGCATTTAAAGCACATGGTCGAAACCGGTTATATTTTCTTAATTAGTGCCTCGTACAATTTGTATTTAAATATGTTTAGAGAAGTCGCAGTTCTCAAATCAATATCTAAGTCATTCCATATATTCGCCCCGGTCACCTTAAAACTCGTGGAATAACTTTCGCTTTTCGAATAAGGAACCTTCAACTTCATAATATTTGACCGTCTCGTTTAACGAGCTTGCAATAACGGTGTGAAAAGGTTTGTAATGTATAAGGGTGTTAATCGGTTAATGCATTTATAAACAAGTATAGCTTTTTTATAAGTTTGACAAGCTCTTTTTAGGTAAGACTTACATAATTTATCAAATGTTATAGGCCTACTTATTTCATTATTATTTCTGTAGAATTTGTACATTTCGTTATTTCCGAGTATGAGCCGTGTTTTGGTACGGTATTCAAATAAACAAATCTCAAGCAAACTGACCATTAATCTTGTTACATCCTCTAACTTTAGAAACTCATCTATAGAATTGTCATTAATTTTTGAATTTCTACACGTGAATAATAAGTTCTCAATATTTTCATTACCAGACTTACATAGTGGGCATATCTGACTGGTGATTCAATAGGTTATCAACAGCAAGTATTGGGAGAAAGGAGAAGGGAATGACATTCCCTTACAAAATACAAACACGCGTATATACACACACACCCACACAACCCCACACGATGCTTTACACATACAAAAACTAAATCTCAATATGGTCAAGAGGGTGTCTATAAAACGAAGACCGAAGACCCAAAATTGAGTACCCCTATTTTTTCTCTTTTAATTTGATAAGACGCCAGGCTGTCACAAAATCAAAATTACGAAATTTTTTGGGCGTCTAATTGTGAAATTTTGAAGGGTTTTCGTTTTATAGACACCCTATATGGGTGTCTATAAAACGAAGACCGGACCCAAAAAAACGAAAACCTCCAATTATTTCTCAATTATCTTACTGAAAGTATTTCAAAATCATCATAAAACAGTTGCCAAGTACCTATATCATTATTTCATTACGATTGAGAGAAAAAAAAATGTGGGTCTTCGTTTTTCGGGTCTTCGGTCTTCGTTTTGCAGAGTCCCATGTTCGTAACGACAAAAACACCCTGCAGCATGAAATTAAACCTAGGACCCTGGGATTAAATAACAATCATCTACCACCAAGCTATTTAACTCCACATCTTTAATATTTTATCTCATTTTTTATTCAATTTGAAATTAAACTGTACTTCATCATCTGAAATCGCTATTGTTTTTACCCAAAGTATCCCTAGAGCCTACTGTACATAATCGATTTATGGAGCAGAGGTTCCCAAATGACCGGCTTTATTGGATGGGTTTACAATCATACTCTTTAATTGGGAATCCCGTGTGTTTTATACGACCACGAATCAGGTAAACTATTTTTTCTTTATATAAGCGCAAGGGCACAACGCACGCGCAACTACCTACTGTACAATGCAGCTGCTGGATGATCAGGACCTGTCTCTTATACACATCTAGATGTGTATAAGAGACATCGGCACGCACGTTTTGTTTGGTATTTTAATATTTGTTCGACTATTTTGCTCACAATTTTGAATGACGACGGGTGAATATACTTCATGAATACGTTATAGATTTACTTTGCTGTCGGGTTCACTGTAAGTCGATGATTGGTCTATTGCGGACCTCAATATTATTTTAACATTTCAATAACCATGACCATAATTTCTAGCATGTAACCTACTCTACAGCGCTCTACAATATGAATCCAATTTCCATCTGCTTCACTGCAAGAGCATGATTTTATTTATACTTTTTTCACAAGCATTGGAACTTTGTAGGCCAGGCCTATTCGAAGGCTATGTTTTCATTCAGGTACTTTAGGCTACGTATGCTTCGTACTACGATAGATGCACCACAAAAAAAAAACAAAAAAAAAACCACTTTTTGAAAATATATTTTAAAATTTATTATTCAGTGGCGGATCCAGGAATTAAAAGTAGGGGCCCAGGGGAGGTACTTTCACAGATAGAGGATCTATACCACTTCAGCCTGAAATTACAAGATTTTTTTTATTATGCCACCTCTAGATGGCCGCAAATTGCACTCTCAAACTTTTGAATATAATTTCTATATATATATCAATTTTTTTATTTGAATAACTTGGGGTGGGGGGTACGAGCCGACTGGACCCCCCTTGAATCTGCCACTGCGTCGGTTAACCTACCTTATGAATAAGTTTTAGATTTACTTTACCGCAAGTACAGTAGATCGAAGATTGTTCTATCAATATTTTACTGTTTTAAGGGACTGTGGTTCTAATAGCCACGACTAGTAAGGGACATAAGACGCTAGACCAAGATATCAGAGAATTTACATTGATTGGTCCAGAAAACACATTTTGAATTAGTTACTTCTTTAAGCTTCTGACGAGACAATTTATAATAAGAGCATCAGCAGCAGCAGCAGCAGCAACAACAGTAAAACAAAAATGTTTTAATATCTGAGATGGGGGATCAGGCAAACAAAACAAATTCTATAAGACCTACTTTTCAGGACCCGTTTGTTACAATGGGAATATTAGAAGTCGGGAAAGCTGTTATTTGGGGTTCATCGATTTATGGAATCGTTTTGAAGAGGGGGACAACCTTAAATTTTGAAAAAGTCATTAAAAGACACCTCAGAACTCAGGAAAACTCAGATCCCGCCATCTATCTCTTTGGGGTTTATCGATTCATGGAAAAGGAATATGTATGCAACTTCTCATTTTACTTTTATGTATAACACACAGAATAGGCCTATTTACTGCAATAGGAATGAGAAAGTTTACCTGACCGTTTCAAAAGGGAAAAAACCCTTGAATTTTGAAGAACTTAAGTCATTAAAAGACACCTCAGAAGCCCTTGGACCCCTTTCTTTTTGGGGTTATTTGGAAATATTTTGACTTCTCCACCCCTCCCTCCACCCAAAAAAACAAAAAAAAAACATTAAATAAAATAAAAATTGAACCCAGATCCGCCCCTGAACTTCATACCAACCCAACGTATCTTGGTTTACCTGGCACTTAATGTCCGTGGCCTCCGATACCTTTAGGTACTAACAAATTCTTATAAATATATAAAGAAGGGTAGCGTCGCCCTGTAAAGTAGTTCATCATTGTGTAGGTAGGCAAAGAAGTTTTAATATACTACCTTTTCTATATGGGCGGCAATTTGTGTCGTATAAAATGTAAAATCCGAGTAATAATGCTAATTAATGATGATATGTTGCTCTTTTCATATACTCTAGGAGGATGATGATAAAAAAAACATAAATATAATATAAATAGTCTTCGGCGCTAAGTTTCTATTTTGGGCAGTGAAATAGACAAAGAAGCTTCGACATTCCAACAATATAGACTCAGCTGATTTTATTGAAAAAAGTATTCAGGAAATGTTTTCCTGGCCATGGAGACAACCAATGCCTCCAGTCTGTACTTACAAACTGAACAGGTCCGGTATTTACACGTTTTGTCTTTGAAAGCTACAAAGATTTAAAGTACATGGACACTACGTTATGAAAACGGTGGCCGGACATTATGATTACTAGTTGGAGTCACTATAGCAACTCCCTGCAACGGTACAAACCGGAATTTAAATCTGTATCCATGGCAACATCACAGGCACGAGAATAATCATGGTGTAATGCTAACCACGATGATTGGTATAATATGCAGGTAACTATGACAATAAAAAAAATTAAAAATATTGCATTTCAAATCCTATTTAAAGGTTTAACAACTTTTCATTTTAATTAACTTAGCCTAAAAATAAGGTAACAAAAACATCCTTCAACAGGCAGAAATTTAAAAAAAAATTTATCAATGTTTGAAATTTGACTCATCATCATTCAATGTATTTATCCACAGACTCAAGTTTGCTTAGCAACATTTACTCAAAAATATGTGACAACAACATTCTGTGGTAATTAGGAATGAAGGTGACACAGAATCAGATTAATGAATTAGTATTGCCCTTATTTAGCAACAAACAAAACCAGACTGGTCCAAAATCTCGAAACTACAAGGTCAAAACTACTTCGGCAAAAAAAAAATTGGTATTTTTGTACCGAGGAACCTTAAATACTTCTTTTCAAGCTTAAATAATGTTGATACCATTTAGCCAGTTACCATTTTTCCCTCTCGTATGAGGTGAGTACTGGCTGTCAATGAATCATAGCATTAGGCCCAAGTCTAAAGGTAATAGGAATATTTTTAAAAATGCTGACAGAATTGATTCCAAAATGCCTATTTTTTAGTTTTTGGCCTTACTGTCTATTCATTTTAAACAGTTAATTGCTTTTATGGTGTGAAGTTATTTTGATACTTTTTGCCCAATCTTTTGGAGTATGCTCATCAGCAAAAATACTTGTTCAGTAATTCATTAAGTAGGAAAATCAATCTGTTACTAAAAGAAAGTCAGCACAACTTTAGCTTTACTCCCCTGACAGTAGTACAAGTGGTGAAAGAAAAATTACAGCCATTTCCATACTGGTTTCAATTTCTCTAGACATACTAAACTCATAAAATGATTTAAATAATCGTTTAGTGAATCCATAAATTTAGTGCAAGTTGTTAAATCATGCTTGCATATTTGAATTTAAATCAGCATAAGTGCTGATTAAACTATCATATTTATAATATCGAAAAAGCAAAGACTGATAAATATAGTCTGCAAATATAAATAACATCAAAATAAAACAAAACAGAAAGAAGTCATGATACATTAAACAGTCAGTACATGAACTTACAAACGGTTTACATTGCTGTTTTCATGATGAATGTGAAGACTGACAGAAGTACCAACTGGCAGTATGATTCACGTCACAATATATTTCAATGCCAACCATTTGAAAATGCAAGCAACTGCACGTAATATTGCCCAAGATTCTATAGCATCTGCGCTATTGCTTTCACTATATTTTATTATGAATCCCTTAATAATACAATTTATTTTTTTGCTTTTATTTGCTATTTAGGAATGTTTTACATTTCATATTTCTATATCAATAATCGATATTGTAAATTCTGTAATACAATTCTAATATTTTTTTTTTTTTGCAAGTACTTGTACTTTGATATTAGAAATCATATTGGTTTGAAGGAAATAGACGGCAGACATGTCTGTGGTTTGGCAGACTATAGCTTAACTTGCAGCTATATATTTCCAGTGGTTGTTTTCCTGATCGTATTAAGAACACCATTAAGGAGAACCACTTGCAGATTATATTTCAACAGAAACAGGTCAAAGAGGACAAAAAACAAATTATCATTTGCTCATTAATGAACACAACGTGTGCAACAATTCATCATGTTGCAAAAAAATAACCAACTTGGATTCAATGATTTCTTATTCATTGCTTTAGCACACATGTTGGCTATATTTACCTCAGCAATGTATTCACCACAGTCTGTTAGCAAGATTATGCAAAAACTGATGAATGGATCATCATAAAATAAAGTTGAATGACCATATTTGAAGAGATCATTTCTATTTTAAGGTTAAACTATTTAGGCATACAGTGCTAACACAAGCTGCAGCAATACAGTATATGGTTTATGGCCTTTACAATCATGTCATGCTCTATGTACACAACAAGATATAGTTGAGTCTTTTTAACATAAATTCATATTTCTGATTACAAAACACTGACTTTATAATATAATAATAAAACAAAACAAGTTAAGAAAATAAGATTAACATGTTACTAATAATGTAGACACCAAATATAGTTTGAAACAGTGGTTCCCAACCTCACCACACATTGAAAGTCTTCATGGACCGCCAAGTTTAAGTTTACTGATGGTTAAGATTCCACCAATCGGATGATATTATAAAAGACAATTTGCCACACAAGTAAAATATCAAAGCTATTTTAATATCGAGAAGGCTCATAATGATTAGCAGTAAGACAAATAATAGAATTAATTCAAGTGGACCCCCAACATCTTTTTGCAGACCCTTTTGTTTTGGCAAACCACCGATTTTTAGAGGACCCCTAAGGGGTCTGCGGACATCAGGCAGGGAACCACTGACTTTAAATGATCACATAGTACTCCGCCGTGTATATTTGTCATGTTTCAGATTCTTGCCATGTTTCTGACTTTTGCTGTGTGTGCCCTATATTTGTACTACTGTATATCTTGATCTTTGCCATATGCCTTATCTTTGCCATATGTGTGATCTTTGCCATGTGCCTGATATTTGTCATATGCCTTACCTTTGCCATGTGCTTGATCTTAGCCATGTGTCTGATCTTTGCCATATGTCTGAACTTCATCGCACAGGTATGTCTAATCTCTGCAACACGCATGTTTGCCACATGTCTGATGTTTGCCATATATGTCTGATCTTTGCCATGGGCCTGATCATTGTTATGTACCTGATCTTTTGCAACATGTCTGATATTTGCTATGTGTCTGATGTTTACCACATATGTCTGATGTTTGCCATTTGTCTGATGTTTGCCACATGTTTGATGTTTTCCATATATATCTGATGTTTGCCATGTGCTTGACCTTTGTTATGTGGTTTATCTTTGCCATGTCTGACCATTGCCACAAGCCTGACCTTCTGCCATGTGCCTGATATTTACTGCTTGTTCATCACATTGATATTTCAATTTTCAGCATTATAATTCACTATGTTCTACTCAATCCAATTCATATATTCAACTTCCATTCCACACTGTCTATATCTTTATCAAATCTGCATCAAATTTATTGTTAACACCCTATATCTTTCCTCATTTTTATGCTGTATTATCTCATTTTCTTTGCATTTGTTTTTTTAGATAAAATAAATGTTAACTTAAAATTTCTCCAATAACGTAGTTGTTACTTAACAGGACTCATTTAGGTATTTATTGGACATTTGTTGATCAGCCTTCCTTGCTGAAGTTGTCCACAAACAAGTTTATACACAGGATAGGCCTACATACCCAATACTAGATTTGATATCTTATTCACTGCTGTTACTCAACTTCATTGTTCCTATCCTGTCATGTCCCAGCTAACTTAGCCCGTTTCCTAGCAATTGCTTCTTCCACTTCTTTCAGTTGTTTGAGTAACTCTTCCCGCCGTGATTTTGTTCCTTTCTTAGTGACTGTTGCTTTAGCCGGTGCAGGTGCGGGGGCAGAGGGCGCTTTCTGCGTTGCCATGATTACTGCTGGTTTCTCCTGGGCTTTTGTTGAAGGGTTCACAGCAGCTACATTGCCATCTTTCACTGATGGATTCACAGCTGACGAAACCTTTGGTTTGATGTTACCTACAGACTTTTTGCTAACTTGTTTTATTCCTGGAAAAAAAAAATTATGAGATTGAAATCAGTTCAGATTAAACAGAAATCAGAATTATTATTATGCATATAGATAACAACCATGAAATTCATTTATATGCCCACAAAATGGTGAAATATAATAATCTATTTAAATACAAAGTAGGAGATTGAAATACTAATTTAAATTTTTTCAAGTTTGTTGGTTCATCGCAGATTATGTCTAGTGTTTTAGTATAACATGACACAGAATTCTAAAATTTGTTAAATATTTCATGAGGGTGCTCCATCCAGAGAATAGTCATTGACTTCAGTTTGTGTGACATGTAATATAAAGATCAGGTGCTCACTTATTTTGCAATAATCTTGGAAGGTAGAACAAGATACGAACAACAGAATGAAGATGGGATCTATGGCAATATATGAGAGCAAACCTTGAATTGAAGATGGCACTTTTAGACACTATTGTTAGTGTTTAATAGATCCACAAACAGATTCAAATTTTTTTGTTTTGTCCAAAAGAAAATTACAATTACATTGCAAAAATGCATTGTAGAAAAAAACCGTTAAAAATATTAAAATACATAAATGGTATATTAAAATGCTTTAGTAAGTACTTAAACCTGTTTAACAAGTTTAAAGGAATTTTGATAATGCTTAGTTTTTGCAATTGATTTTAACCTCCTACCAGATAGTAAGGTAAAAAAAAAAAATAAATTTTGTGTTTCGAGAAAATATAAAAAAAGGGTAGGTCGGTAGGAAGCTTTTTTTTTTAACAACCAAATATGTGTTTATACCTAAAAAGTAGAAAATACACAAATAATACAACAATTTTGGATTCGCATCGCGTACCATCCAGCAAAATGGGCTAACCTTGCCAAGGCTTTACCAGCTTTATTTGCTCATAAAAAAAAAAAAAAAAAAAAAAAAAAAAAAAAAAAAAAAAAACTAAAATGCCGACCCTTTATGTTGTAAAATCTGGGCCAGTCGGGCGTGGCCAACACAGTAGCCATAAATTATTGCATAAGTAAAATAAGTTTAAGTATTATACAGTACATAGAAAGAAGATCCTTTCTTCACACTTGGAATGTACTGAAAGCAAGATTTGTTTACAAAGACTTTCTCGCCCTAGATATTTGAAATGGATATTAAGCGGAAGTTCTTTGTTTTAGCCAATTCAAAGTAGCTTCTTTTACTTCACAGTTCCTGTTGTCATTTCTGGCAGACTTAAAGTCCCATGTGACAAATTATTTCATTTAAATTCTGTGACATCTGAAATTTGATTCAGCATGTTGAACTACCAACCTGGTTTTGTGTACAATTACCTTCCTGTAACTTAACTTTTTTCTCAATATTTCAGTGTTATATGATAATGAAGACTGCCATTTATAATAGTTATTGAAATATAATATTACTGAATAATGGATATATACTTTTTGTAAAATTTAATCAAATGTTAAATGGAAAAAAATGCATGTAAATTTCTGAATATTGTCTTCTAATGCATTAAACAATGTGTTAGTTAAGCTCTGTCAGACTATAAAAAAAGAAATGTTGTGTGCCTATATATGGTCTTGATGTGATGTCATCGTGACCATATTTAGGCATGTCAGATGTTTTTGTCAAATATAAATTGATATTCTGGACAGGAATTTAGAAATATAATTTTTAAAATTCTTGTAATATATACAGCAATCCAAAATTTACACGATAAGCTTTTCAAAATGTTTTAGTCTGGCAAAGAATGCCATGTATTAGCAGCACTGTTACTTTTCTCAACATCATAAATCTATATTATGGCTCAATTATTATTGTCGCATTAGTTTTGACTGCCTGGACTGTTGCATAAAACTTGAAAGAGATTCTCTTGATGTTTAAAATAATCCTAGTGGGATAGAATAATTTTGATGACTCACCCTTCTGCTTAGTAGTTGGTGAGGGGGGCTTAGCCTTTTTTGCAATGGACTGAGTTGATGCCTCCAGGGATCTCTTCTTACTTGTTGTATCACTTGGCTGTGGATGGAAAACAAACGTATCAAATCCCAATATCACCGAGAGATTTAAGTTGTTTTTATATTTTATAGAATTGCGTCTTGATTTTGATATAATAGCATCAGCTGGAGATTAACATCTTAAACCACAAAGCTATCAAGACTAAATCAAAACACAGGTTCTTTTAATGTCTGAAATAAGATATGTTCTAGAGAAATCACCAAACAAATTACACACTTACCTTTTTCAGAAGGGTTAACTTAATATCCTTACGTGCACTGTATTTCAATGGATCTGATCTATCATGACTGATCGCAGCAGAGGAGGTACCACTTGGTTTACTATAGAAATCAAAAGAATATTAATGTCGTACTTATGATATACATACTTTTTTTCCTTAAATTATACAAAACGAAGCTTTATTACACATCCTCTCTAACAATACTAATTAGCTGGAACAGTACCAATATGGCGACTATCATGGTATAACCTGCACAGATGGATTATTATTTATTCCCAATAGCTAAATGTTGCTAATTAGTACCCACAAATAAAGTTATTTATTCACTTTCATTTGTTAGAATGATTCAGGAAAAACTAATGAAATGATCTCAAAGACACAGAAAGCTGAAAAAAATCACATTAATAAACTGTGGTGGCGAACGTAGTACTCCCTCGAGTGCCTGCTCTAGCATTATAGTTGCAAGAGTACCAAGTCTCCCTCATGTCACAGGAGTTTTTCCAGGAATCGGGAACGCATCCCACACTCCAGCAAGCAAGCAAGAACCTCATGGAAAATAAACAATCGTGTCTGTGTTTTGGTTCTTGGTTCCAAGTTTAGTTTAGATTGATCCACTGTTTAGTTTATCCCTTTTTATCTTTTCGGTTCTCTCAGCGCATAGAAATCGGTATATGAGCTATATATATATCCCACTTCATACAAACAATCTTCTACATAATTCTTGACATTAGGATGTTTTTACTACTGTATTATCAATTGTCTGCTGGAAGTCCAAGCTAATGGGTATAACCATGCACAGCAAAACATAATTTAGTAGAAACCCTCAATTACCAACCCCAATTTAACGAATTCCCGATTTTACAAACGTAAAATCAAGGCGATGACGTCATAAAAAATTCCCTATTTTGTTATTTGAGGTATATTTATTTAAAAATTCAACATCAAAAACATACATAGCAGTGACTAAGGCTGAATTGCGTATGAATTAACAAGAATAAAATCCATATAAAATACAATTGTTATTATCGTTATAAAATATGAAAAATTCAAGAGCAAAACCAATATCAAAATACGTTATAATATTTGTTAATGTGTGTGGGGCCTACAGTGGGATCAGAATGCTTTGAAACTGCCTACTGTAGGCCTAGGCCCCCTCAGACTTAGCTGCATAGGCCTGTGGGCCTAGCCTAGGCCTAGTTAATGTCAGTGTAAGTAGTAGTTCAATAGGAATTTGGGTCAACCCCGATTTCACGAATACCTGCAATTACAAACAGCTCTGGGCCCGTGTTGTACGTAATTGATGGGTACTACTGTAGATGTATTTAAACATACAATATCTCCCAAATGTGGATTTTTCCAACTTGGGACTACTGCAAGTTGCAAATATTCCAAATCATATATATATAAGGATAATGTTTCTGGTAGTGCAAAACGCATTCAAGTACGTACCTTGGGACTGGTTGTTTTGCTTTTTGTGAAGCCTTGTTGACAATATTACTGCTAGTAGCTGGCATGGGTGTCACTTTGGCTGTCTTTTTAGTTGAGGTATTAGCCTGACTGCTTGGTAGCGGTTTGATAGCTTTTGATTTAGGCAAGGCCTTTGATAGTGGGTTTGGCGAAGCCTTTGTTGTACCCTCTTGTGTTTTCACTCCATCCCTAGGCTTTGAACTACTAGGCTTAGCTTTCACCACACCTTGCTTCACCTTAGTTGTTGCAACAGAGGGTTTCTTGTTTCCTTCTGATGCTTTTTTACTGGACATTTTCTTCATGGGTGCACTGGTTTTTACTACAAAAAAAATAGAAAAAGAAAAATATGGCTTTAATGTAATTTATACTTGTAAGTCTAAAACAACTTTGTAGAGTAGTTTACTTAGCATTCTGGGAAAAAAATCCTCTTTTAAAACATAGAGAATGAGATTCTTCAGTAGAAGAATGTAAGATTCTGAAAATAAATATAGCATTCTCCTTTACATTGTAACATAAACTGAAGATTTTTTTTCTTGAGAAAGATTCATTGAAAATTCAGCTTCGCTTTTTTTTTTTAAAGGTATCTGTAGATCATAAGGATGCCTGACATTATCTCATAAATGATGTTTTCTGTTTTACCTTTAATCTCTTTTATAGGAATGGGTTGGTCAGAGAGATCAGAGCTTGCTGAAGACACTGGACTCGCAAGGTTTGCATACATATGTTCCGAATCTGCACTAACACTTGAAGCACGGGATGCAGGAGAACGTGACCTGGATGAGATACTACTATAAGACTGTGAACGTGACCGTGATCGTGACCGCGACCTTGATCGGGAGAATGACCGGGACCTGCTTCTACTACTACCACTACTTGACCGGCTGCTTCTGCTGCTACGAGAGCTTGAACTTAGACTGCGTTCTTTTGAAGGGCGTAGATGGTCTGCAATTGGCTGAACTCTCTTAACTTGTTTCTGTAGAAAAAAATACAAGTTAAATTAGCTTTTTCGTACAAAATTTACAAGAATACAAGTAGATTTTATTCATCCCACTACAAGAAAATTTCACAGCTGAATATAACAATGTGAATACAGTACAACAAAATGCATTTATACAATTAAATGATAGCGATGCTTCTCAACAGAATGACATCATCATTGAATCACAGATTAAATTAGCAACTATTTTCATGGAAGAGAACACCATTTGATGAAAATTTTCAATAAAAAAAGTCAACTTGTCCATGAGATAAGTGAGGTTGGAAGCTATTGGACATGCCCACAATTAGGAAAGATCACTGCTCATATTTGTGTGGTTTCATCATGTACTTTGTAGAGGCCTTCATTCTACAGTGGGTCACAATTGCTATTGGGTAATTCAGAGTTAGAATTCTCATACAATACCTCAATGGTAAGGCTGTAGGCCAACGCTATACAGGGCTAAGCATTGAAACAGCTGCCCAGGCAAACGAAAAACAATTCCATTCTCTCTAGCTGCCTAGCCATGTGTTACTCAGGGATGTCACCAGCTTTTTGGAGTGCCAGTCACCACCCCCACCCCCCATTTTCCCGGGGTGGGGGGTGTTGTATTCGTGAAAGCTCTTAAAAACCAAAAGGCCCAAGTCGAGCAGGCCTAGGCCCAAGGCTAGCTGACGCGATTTTTTTAGGCTAGGCCCAGGTAGGCCAAATCAGGATCAAACAAACGAAATTGCGAAAGTATAGCAACATCATCAACCGGGAACCTGTGTGTAATATTGTCTATTAGCGTATCAATGTACTTTCCACGGATGTGCTTATAAAAAAAATAGGCGTCATCAGCTCATTTCTTGACGTCAATGTCGGAAGATTTTAGTTGGTCCAGTAGTTGTGGTACCTCCTGTAAATTCGGTCCAGTTGTTTCCTTCATATCAGAGATAGTTGTGATTGTTGCTTTCACGAGCGGTTGAATCGAACCATGCTCAAATTCACGAGCCTGGAATGCTTTGCAGAGGCGACTTACGTGCGGCAAGATGTCACAAAGTAGCAACATCGTTGCTATGAAACGATAAGTTCTTGTTAAGTGAGAGAGTCCAAGTGCCTTTGCGTCACCACGCTCTTCGCCTTCTCTTTCCAGGCTTATAAGTATACTGATGAAACTCTCTTTCAAACGAGAAACTGAATGTTCAATACTGAGCCATCGCGTAGATGATGGTTCGATAGGTTTCAACACCTTCTCATTTGGTGCAGTTTGTATTGCGTGCAAACCAGCGGTTCTGACTGCGCTGTTGTTGAAAAAGTCATATAATTGCCTAAGTATCGACGCAAATTTCTTAACAAATGGTACGGCATTGACAGCTTGTGATGTTGCGAGTTGTAAACAATTGCCACAGCAATGAATCCCAACGGCAGATTTAGCAAGTTCTTGTAATCGCTTCACGACGCCACTTTGTTTTCCAGTCATTACGGCAGCTCCGTCAGTACCAATCCCACATAAATGTTCAAAATCCAGTCCCTTATCATTGAAATATAAAAAACGTGTTTTGTGATGGTTTTGGCATTTAGGGCAACTGTGCCTTCCCCGTCGATCGCTGCTTTCAATGGTTCAATCATTTTCAAAAATTTGACACACAGTTTCCCATTGGCATCAATGTATCGGCAGTTCAATGTTATTTGTTCGCAGATGCTCACATCAGTAGTTTCATCTAACATAATTGCAACATCAAGAAGTGTTGATTCCTTGAGCTGGTCAGATAGAAACGATAACATCTCCTGAATTGACTTACTGTATTACTACAATATGTAACGTTCTTTGCAACATTTAAATCATCCTTAACATTCAAGCCAAGTTGTGTAAGTAGATCTAGCAGAGGTTTGAAGTTTGTGATGTGCGGGATACGTCTTTTTGCAAGAAAGTATAAGCATTTAAATGCAGATGTAATGGCCGAGTCGTTCATTTCTGGCAGAATTACTTCAGCTATGTTGTGAGTACTTATGATAAGTTTGAGATTCATAGCAGTTTGGTGTGCTGTTAACGTCTCGTGCTCCTTGATGCTGCTTAGTTGGAGCCTTCTACAAGATGTGATGTTCCACGTATCTCTGTCGTATGGTCGCATGTTGTATTTCTGACAGAGACGACAGTACATCCCTGTCTCGCTTGGCTGATAGTAAAGCCAAGATGTACGGCCATTTAACTACTCATTTCGGAAATGAGTGGATTGCTTTCCCGTTTTGGCCTTCTTGGAAGGTTGAGGTACCGGCTGGTTCTCCTCATTTTTCCGTTTAGGTCTGCTAGAGGTGAAACCAAACATTGCTAGAGACATTGCGAGATAATTCTAGTGCTACGACGATAATATAATACTGCTGGAATGACGATGATAATATTGCTGAAACGAGAGACGATGATAACTGCTGCAAAGACGATGATAATACTGCTTGCTAACTTGTTGAAAACTAGATTAGAAATGGTGTTTCCTTCAAGTTTTTTCGAGAACTTTTATACATGAGGTGTGAAAAGTATAGAAATTGGTGAATGAAGTACTTGTACTTAGATACATGCCTTTTCTTTTGTAATACGCGCGCGAGCAGTGCGGGTTTAATAAGATGCCTTGCGCATTATTGTTTCTTTTGACAGCGGCAAGCGCGCAACGCGCCTCACGGTATCTTCAATAGAAGGTTACAGCTATTCATGTACCCAGCCGCATTGTTTGCCGTAATTTCACATGTTTGACGATTACCACGATGAATGTGTATGTCATATGTGCATTGTCCATTTACACACATTATATATCAATTATAATTAAAAGTGAAAAACTTAAAATACAAAATTTAAAACAATTATGGACAATATAGAATAACATTAACAAAATGAAAACAAAGTAAAGAAATAAAACATAAATCAGGTTTCCATTGCGTTGCATTGCGTTAAAACTAGTTCATTCATTGCATAAACTTTACCCAATAAAAAAGCTTGACAGTTTCAGCACTGCTTTTTTTCTAGAGTTTATTTACCTATCAGTCAGTCAATCATCAATCACAAAAATAATATGCCTACAAATAATGCCAAGAAATATCCAGATTCTGAATTATTCTATCAAAATTGTCACTAAAAAATAGAAGTTGCAGCTAGATAATGATTCAGACAAGTTATCAGATAACACTTGAACTTGCAAGACCTCATAATTGAATGGACAGAATTAGTCAGGACTTGTAACAACTGCAGTCAGTTTGTTGTTTCTGATTAAATCAACTAGTTTTAGTACATCTTCATACTTAGCTTTACTTACTTTTCGATATCAGTATTTCTGTACATTCTGATTTTAATTAAATTAATCAAATTAGTAGCACTCTTTTTGACTAACAATATATTTTTTTCCACAAGACCTTGTTTCAGTCAATAGGACTGCAGGTGTAGTTTACAGTATAAGTTCATTGATATCAAAATATTTTGATTGGATAGAAAGCAGCTCAACTCCTGTCTCTTATACACATCTTGTCACTGATTCATGTGCACTCATTTATTTATTTGTCCATTTACACACATTATATATCAATTATAATTAAAAGTGAAAAACTTAAAATACAAAATTTAAAACAATTATGGACAATATAGAATAACATTAACAAAATGAAAACAAAGTAAAGAAATAAAACATAAATCAGGTTTCATAAATTTTTAATAATCTTCCTGCCCCGGACCATGCTCTCATAATAAAACACTTGAATCGTCACGATTTTAACTTTAACCTTTGAATGGGTAAGCAACCGTTTCATGCCGGCCCATCACGTTCGCTATGACTCAACTGTTTAATATCGATTTATTGGTTTAAATTATTTCTTTCTTGTCTGATTAAAATTTTGTATTATTTTCATGGATTTTAAAATGCAATTTTAGATGTTTTGTTGAATAGAAATGATTATCTGTAATGATGTCAACAGCACAAATGGCATTCACTAAATAGATATTTTCTAATTTGGATGAAATTTGTTAATTTGGAGATCTGCAATATTAAAGTTTATTTTATTTGTTATAACTCAAAAACTGGCCAGTTGTTAAGATTAGGGTACACTTCATTTATGAAAAGCATTCTGTGTAAACAAATTGCATTACCCTAACTATTTTGGCATGTATTCTGCCTAATACTAACATAATTTGTATATATTGACTGCTCATGCGTGGAATGGTGCAATTTATTGCCCCGAGGTATGTGGAGACTGTAGCCTATCTTCCCAAGGGTCGAAGCTACTGTCTCCGGCCCTCGGGAAGATAGGCTACGGTCTCTACATCGCCGAGGGGCAATAGATTTTACCGTTCCCTGAATCTAGAGCAGTCAATACTTGTTTTATATACCTCATACACAGATTCTACGAGGCCTAAAAAAGTACTTACTTCCTAGTCTAGTATTAGAGGCATAGCTAGGGCCAGGCCTATGATAGGTGAACAAAGAGTATGTCTAGTTCTTCTTTGCTTATTTCCTCAAGTTCAATAGCATCCATCATCTTGCAATATTTTTCGAATATTGACAAGATATATTTAATTTGTATTTTGGTGCTTTTGCTATTGGCTTCTTCAATAAATAAATAATACTAGGCCTACGCTAGTCCTTCTTCATCTTGAACCAACCAACCTCCATATTTGTTTATCGTCTTTATCAGTCCCCTTTACCGTCAGCAGCATGATGTTAGGTAGACCAACATTTTGCACATCGCGACAGGTCAAAAAAGTACTATTTTTGTGGGGAATAATACTTTTTGAGGGGATAGTGCTTTCTATTGCGCCGCTTAGAATCTATGTATGAGGTACAGTATATAAAGCCATCTATTAAATAAGGTAATCATAAACCTTAACTACCAAACTATATTCAAGACCATCTTACCTGAAAATGAATAGGAGGTATTGATAGTTTCTTTGAGGCCTGAACAGGAGCACTTGCTTTCTTTGTCACAGGTGGTGGACCAGTTCTATTATCACTATATGAATTTGGAACCAGTAAATATACATGATCAGCATGTCATTATTCCTAAAATCTGGTTTCTAGTTGTTTTAATAAACTATTTACTATGTAATACTACCATTATTTGTAAATAATAGTACCATTTAACAGTACTATTATTTATATATAGTGCATATGTGTCACTATTTGCAATTTGTGTTTTGGAGTTAAAGGAATGTCAACAATTTTGAAATCTATTTTATTGCACTAAATTAAACTTTATAAAGTGGGTTTTGAGAACCATTAGTCAATTCCATAAAATCTGGTTTCTAGTTGTTTTAATAGTACTGTTTACTATTTATTAGTAGTTATCTATAAAGAATAGTACTACTTAAGAGTAATATTATTAGTAAAGTGCATATACTGCAATGTTTTTATGTTGAAAAGAACAAGCAAAAATAAATGGGTTTTGCGAACCATTAATCAACATAATATCTAGCTATTAAGGGTGCATACGGCTCAGACACTACATACATTTTATTAAATGACTTCATAACTTACACACTAGACTTAATCAATGCAGGCTTAGAACTCTGTGATACTGAAGGTTTTGCTGCAATTGGAGCTCCCGTCTTTGATACAATAAGCTTAGATTGACCATTCTTGCCAGTTGAACTAGCACCAGGTGGCCCACCACGGTTTGGTGGACGGCCACGACTTGACTGGCTGCCACGAGTAGGTTGGTTGTAGTTACTGGTTGGCCCACTCCGACCAGGATGCTTATTGCTAAGCCAGGGTGTAGGCTTGCTTCGAGGCGATGGTGTTCGACTTCTGCTTCTTGAGTATGATCGTGAGGAACGGGATCCTGAACGTGAACGTGAGCGTGAAGAGAACGAAGATGAGGAGGACCTTGAATGACTAGTATAAGACGAATATGAAGACGACCGTGACCGCGAACTTCTGAAAGTTAAAAAGCATAATTATTATTTAGATATACAACCTTTATGCATTTCCTTTTTAGGGTTGTTGTCATTATTCAAACAATAGAAAATGTACTAATTATTAACAAGGATGTCTGTTCCTATATTTCCCTACTGAGATTCGTTGCAACGCCAAGTAAAGATAAACTGCGCCCTCTTACAACAGCAACTTCACACACCACCTTTGGTCATTGTCATTACACACCACCTTGATTGAGGTCATTGCCATTTTTACCGTGATAGCATTGCTATTCTTACAAAGATAAATGCATTCTCAAGACCAAAATATCCTTCCTAGGTAAAATATCTTAGGGTACAACTTATTAATATAATATAGTAAAATTTTAATGTACGAATGTACTGTGTTCTTTGAATGTTTTATTGTGAACACACCACTTGATAATGCGTGAAACTGTTATAAAGTGTACGTTTCAATAAAGTTATTATTATTATTAAAGACAACTCCATTTAAAGACCATCTCCAATTAAAAACCACTTTCTGTGGTACCAAATTTACAATATATGTCTTATCTCTATTATTCTAATTAGAGACAAAAGTTGCTAAAGATTATGGATACTATGGTCCCAAAAGTGGTCCTTAATTGCAGTGGAGACCTGTATTTATGTAGAGGTACTTACGATGAATTACTAAACGAGGAATGTGAACTATGTCTCCTACGCCCCTTAGCACCTAAATTCTTCTTAGGGGATCGTGCTCGGGCCCATGGATCTTGCCAAGAATCGGCTGCCGCACGATTCACAAATGGTACTTTTGGCTCCATTCTGTTTCGTGGTTCACCCACTCGTATTTTATCTTGCCTGTTATAATTTGTTTCCTCTCGTTTGACCTTGGGATATCGGTCGTAACTGCGATCTGTAACTGGGGGTATTTGATCTCTAACGACACCTTCTCTGTTAATACGACCCTGAAAACATATAAGTTTAACAATAATACCAACATTAAAATAAATAGTATAATATATTAAAGAAGCATACCTCTGCAATGGTCACAGGTTGTATGTTATATATTAGGCATTACAAGCCTTTTTAGATAACTATGGACAAAAGTATGGTAACTAGTATAAGCCTTTATAAGCTTAATAATCAATATGGCCTTGTGCCTCCTAATTTTTGTAAGGCACAATAAGCATATTTGACAATAAACATGGGAGTGGTTAATGAGATACAAATTTTTAAATATTTAAAAACCTTTTCCCCCAGTTTTTAAATATTAGAAAATTTCAAAGTTTTTTGTCAAATATACTTTTTGTCTTAGAAATATGAGTTGTACATCCAAATTTTTCCCCCTATGGAGTCTACCTTTAAATACAAACTACCACATTAACTGACATTATAATGGATACAAATGAAACCTAATTATTGCAATATTTCCAAATATAATACTTAATATTAACAGTTAAAAACTGAGGATGTACTTACAACATGAACAGTTGCTGCATATTGTTGTGGTAATGTAGGTTCCTTCATAATAACTTCTCTTACAGGTGAGTCCTCACCTAAATGAAACCTACAAATAAAACAAATGCATATGCATACACACTGTTTAAGTTCTTTTTATAAGGACATTGAAGGAGTATTGATATAACGAAAAACCTGAATCAGGTTGTAATTTTTTCATATGTATTCTTTAAGGATTCCCTGATTTCAATTTCATCTCCTAAGCATCTAAAACAAAATAAAAATTTCATCTCCTAAGCATCTAAAACAAAATAACATACACTGAATTAGTCACCAAATTTGGCATCGTCTAAATCATATCTTGGCTTGGCAATTGAATTGAATTGTTGGGTATAAAACAATAACAGACCTAGAATATCCTATGCTATATCATTGAGCATTCTGAGGTAGTCTATACAAAAACTTACCTAAACACTGATAGTACAATAGCTTTTAGGTGGATAAAGAATGATTCAAAGATTCATCAGAATATATTTGATTTGAGTTGCATGTACAATTTCAATATTAAAAATACAAAGAGTTTGACAGGCTTGGAGTAGCCTAAACTTGTGATGATGCATACAGCAGCGATGGTAGAGCTGTACAGGGCCATCATTGCACCTTCCTGGTCTGTATGACTAAATCGTTATTGTAGAGGCAAAGGCCCTAGCCCTACCATTGGTGACTAATTTGGTGTATTGCAAGCATGCGTGCTACAAATAAATGGAACTAAGAAACAATACATACCCATAAAATTCATCACGATTCCTGTATAAATTTTCTTTGTTGTAGTCTTCATCACCATCATCTGATAGTTCAGCCATCAAACGCTTCTCTTCAAAATCTTCGTCCTGCTCCTTTCTTATCTGCGCTTTCTTACGCAACTGTACATCAAAAACAAATATTTGTTACAGTTTGGATGGCATTCTCATAAGGTGATTTCATAAGTAATGTTAAAATCAACTTGAATCAACATTTATCCATCTACGGTCTAATTGAATTGCAAGCATCCAGAGAATTTATATCATGTGATTGGCTGTCAACAAATTGGCAACCAAGAACCGGGAAGAGGATGAATGGAAGACAAAAGAAAAAGTGGAGGGATGACATCACCACATACATGGGAACAAACTGGGCAAGAGAGGCAACTGACAGAAAAAGATGGAAAATGTTGGAGGAGGGCTTCACACAGCAGTGGGTGAAAAGTCTGATGATGATTTGCTGTAATAAAGCCTCATACATTGTACATCTGAATGTACTTATAAACAACATACTGTAAAAACCTCGAATTGAAGCCCTGGGCTTTTTTTTTTTTGTGAACTTTGGATGGGCTTCTTTTCGAGGATACTTTTGCAAAGTAAAGAGGGGGCTTCTTTTTAAGATGAATGCTGTAAATTTTGTGAATTTATACTATAAAACAATAATAAGGCCACTGTAACATCAATCTGTATCATGGAATGTATTTAACTGGCATTAAATCACCAAAACTACTGTATAAACCAAGCTTGTTTTTAATTTTTTTTTTTTAATTCATATACAGTGTATGTACTGTACTAGCTCGAAAAGAAGCTTATGATATCTTGAAAAGAAGCCCGTGGGCTTCTTTTAAAGATGGGCTTATTTTGGAGGTTAATTTTGCAAACTAAAAAAGGGGAATTCAATTCAAGATGGGCTTCATCTCGAGATTAAGCCCATTCGAGGTTTTACGGTACTGACAATGAACTTTTCAGCTATTAGTCCTGTAAACATTGGCAAGATAAAATAATCATTATAGTTAACTACTGTAGCACAGAGGATTTAATAATAATGGTTATGGTTGTGCACTTAACCATATATCATTGATGTAGAAATACTTCAAGAACATTCAAGAAGAAGGTGACTGATAAATGAGCCTCACAGTCTATTGCACAATAACAAAAGCACACAAGTAGATGAAAAAAAAACCCCAACTAACCTCTTTTGCATGCCTCAAACCTTTCTCCCATGCTGTCTCAACTTTTGGTTCCTCTGGAACAACAGGCCTTTGTACCTCTTCCTACAATGATGAAATGTATTTAAACATGCTTTGTAAATTGTCAATTTGCCTACTTACAAGATACAGACTCATATCTTCTATGAGCAGATTTATCTACAAGTTTCAAGATCTTATATTTTATAATACTGTGTCTTAGTGAAAAAGATGTTTGGCTACAGTTATTTTTTCCCCTTTTTTTTCTCTTTTTCCATTTGGTCGTAAAATCTTGCTCGTAATATTTTTTAACACTGTTCTGAATATTAGTGAAGACGTTTGACTAATTATTTTTTGTTTATTTTATTTTTCATTTGCTTGTAAGTATTAAGAATGCTTTTTCATAGTTACTACCTCATTATAAATGAAGGCTCAAATATTAAAGACAGACTGAACTTTTTCAATAAACTTAGCTCAGTAATCTTCCAACTGAACTTAGAGATATCTCAGATCCTAATCTTCTTAAATGTGCACTCAAGACTTACTTGTTTGCCTTTGTCTCTTTTTGCTGCTTTTTCCTTTTGTGCTTTTATTGTTGTAATCTGTTTATTTGTCTTTGTTTGTGTGACTGTACTATTGTGATGCTTCAGGTTCCTGAATAATGACTGATTTTATGCCTACCATTGTTTTTTCATGAATTATTGAGGCTAGGCGTGCGCTTCATAACCGCAACTGAAAGGCGCAATATAAATACCCAATACCAGTACCAGTAGTACTCCACTTTTTCTGGTCATTTAATTAAGAAACTTTTGGACCAACCTCATATTAAACCAGAGCCTTGCAGGCGTCAACATTCCTATGCATGATACATGACTTAACCCACCATATTTTCTGATTAAGTCATCATAAATTACATAATCAGAAAATATGGTTGGGTCAAATTTGTGTGGTAGTTGAAAAATTCAGGGGGAGACTATATGGCCCAAAATAGTGATTTTAGACCACACTGGTAATGTAATTTGATAGGCAAATTACAGTAATATTTCTTTGAAAAAATTTTGTAGGCCTAGGGCCTACCTAGGTATACAGTATTTTCATTTTACAGTAGTTTGGAACAATATCGGGAGTTGGGGAGCTGGTAGTGGCCGACTAGTCTACAATTTATTTGAAAATAGCTTGGGCCCGATCGTCCACGCCAATTGGGCCCAATCGTCTGTCACCCAAAGTTTTAACCACGATGATCAAGAACGTAAACGATCTAAGCCCCATGCTAGGCCTAGCCTTGCTGCCGTCACTCTGCTACGCATACTACCACATAACAAAGAAAGCGACTTACACGGTGCATTCCTTAAATTTTACACGTATTACTTAAATGTATTTTACGTATTAGACGATAACACGATATCATTGATTAAACGATCTACCACCCTCGCATCGCAGTAACTACTGTACTAAACTAGGCTTAGGCCTCATGTTTTTGTGAAAGCCTAAGCTAGATAGTCGTTATGTACTTGACAGTCAGCTGCCTTTATATCTTCACTTATCTTCAGTTTGCATTCAAAGGGTACACCGCTGCATAGCCAACTGTCAGGAATATAGTACCTTCATATGACTACTCATCATACAACAGAAAAAAACGTCGCATGGAGGTAGAAAAAAAACAGAGATCTAAATGAAAAAAACGATGTATTTCAGCAAATATTAAAACCTTTTTTTTTATTTTAGGCCTCCTTCAAAATGCCTATGCCTACAGCAGTTGATTTTTTTTTGCCGCAAAACCAAAATAGTTTCATCCATGCGGAGTTGCTGATCGGTTAGCATGAGCCCTGACTGAACACACAGAAACTTCACATCAAACTTGCTTCGCATCACAAGGAAAAACAAAATGTCAGAAAACTTTTTTTTACGCATGCGCATTTGCATAAACGTCTACATACACACACACACACACACACACTACACACAGGGAAAACTGTGAAAAGTGATTACAATAGTTCCTATTGCATTACATGCATAGGAACTATAAATACATAGTCATTGTTTAATTGCTAATTTTTTTACGTCAAGGGCCTCGAAGGTACTGTCCAACCCGGGCAGCTCAGAACTTAGTTACGCCACAATTGCAATGATCATGATATTGCTTACAAAGCCATACTAACCTCTGGCGGTGTTGCTGGTCTTGGTGGCGCTAATATACTGGCGTGGAGGTTCTGTATTTCATTCCTTTCAATCATCATGTAATTTCCTTTAATAAATAAAATAAACGGATAAAACCATGAAGCAAATTTCAATACCTATATGATTTTCTGATTTGCTTCTAAAACCATTCTATGATTTTTTTTTTTACTTCCTGGGCAGTATCATATCTATGGGGGGTAACTCATGTCCCAAGTTTTACCATCCCATTGAAAATATTCAGACAAAATAATAACACTCAAGTAAATACTGTATAATTCACCTCACATATCACTCTATTTGGCAAGTTAGCACCCCCGACTTTATCATCGTGGGGCCCCCTTCCCACTTCACCTTCATACTCCTCACTTCAGCCCCCTCAATTTCATGACTCCTAAAAACTAGGAGGTATACAGTACAGTATTCTTGGGCACTCACTGCATTCTACGACCGTCGCACAATGAATCCAACTCCGCTCTCTGTGGTCGATAGACCACGCAATGCTGTCCGCTGATTGTCGGTTGCAGTTTGAATGGATTTTAAAAATTCATTAAAAATTATCAGTTGCGCGCCGTCGCGTTGTGTTGTTCATAGAAACGCGTCGACCGACGATCGTCGTGTGCAGAGAGTGCCCGGTTTTGATGTGTTATTGAGCACTAAACTGTCTTACCTTTATCGTTATAGCCAGGGTGGACAAACCTACACGATAAGCCCCACGTACATTGTCCACGCTGATAAAAACGACATGTTTGGCGAACAAATGGTTTACGCCCATGAGGATCTTTCACTTCTCCTTCTTCGTCTTCATCCTAGCAATGTAAAAATTATCTTTATAAAGAAACTCCAGCATTAGAGGCTGGGAGAGAGCATTAAGGTGATAGCTCTTGCAAAAAAGTGTCTTCAATGGGTTTAAAAAGAGGTGATGCTATATTAAGAGATAGGCAGCTATTTCGAATGTTAAGTTTAAAATCAAAAGGTTAGAGAAAAGGGGTACAATATACAATCCATTGTAATGAATCTCATATTAAATGAATCATCTTGCAGGCTAAACAGCATACGAAAATAACTTACATCTTTTATTTCTCCATCCTCCGTTTCATCATATTCTCCTTCTTCTAACTCTGAATCTGATGTTCTTTTCTTTTCATCCTTGGCATCCTCTATTTCTACTATCTCGCCTTTTTCTTCTGGTCCTCCTGGCTGTTGTTCGCCATGTTCAACATCTTCCTCATAATCCAACTCATCACCATGCATATCCAAAAGCATTTCCGACTGCTTAACCTTGGCTTTATGTCCTTTAACTTCAGAACTCCTGCCTGCACTATATTTTTTATCTGGTTTAATATCCTCTGCTTCAAAATCAGTACTTCCACTTTGTAACAAAATCTGCCCACTACTTGTGGAATCTTTAAAGTTAGTTTTTGAGTCAACCCATTTGACGGGTAGACTTGGACAAGGTTGTTCATTTTCATCACTAATCTCTCCATCATCAGAACTTTCTTTCTCAACTTGTTCTGGCACTTCCTCAAGGTTCATTTTTTCTAGTTCAGTTTGAAAATCAGTTTGTTCTGGGGTTGCTGAGGCTTGCAGTGGATCAATATCAATAGAAGGATCTATGGCCAGTGGATCTTGACTTGCTGATGCTTGTGGCTGATTAACTTCAAGAGCAGATTCTAAGTTCACTTGACCTTGACTTGCTGTGTGTAGTTGATCAATTTCAACTGCAGGATCTAAGCTCACTGGATCTTGACTTTCAATTTTTTGCATCTGATCAACCGTGACAACAGAATCCAAGCTCATCGGATCTTGACCTGATGATTCTTGCACTTGCTCAACCTCAACAGCAGGATCTAAGGTCACTGAATTTTTATCAGAATCACACTCACCGTTGTCATCATTTTCTACAGCAAACTCCATATTCCCTGTTGAATCCGCAGCACTTGCTTCCAGGTCATTAGTCTCCTGACAGGTACTCTGAAGGGGTTTAGTTACTGTTTTTTCTCCTTCAATCGAAGACTCTTCTGTTAGTTCACCTTCTTCATCCAGTGGTTCTCGATATTCAGGATCACATTCTCTTGATAATGGGCTTTGCTGTTCAAGTCCTTCAAGAGTAACCGGTACATTTTTTGCATCAACGTCTACTTCTGGGTCAGTGCTGCTAACATCTGCATCTTCTACACTATATTTCTTATTTTTACTTGTAAAGTTCTCATGGGTATTTAAATCTTGATCAATAGTTTCATCTAATGTGGCTTCTCCCTGAAAGTTATCATCTTGCTCATCCATTCTGTGTAAGCAATTCACTAGTAAACCTTCAGTATCACCTTTGGACAAAACATACAAATATTTCAATCAGATTCATATCATAAATAATAAAACTAAAAACCTAAATTGTTTTCAGTTGTATTTATAATTCATACTTATTCAATCTTTAAAAAAATTACCTAGTCACAGTATTTTGTATCGTAAATACACTCAGTGGCGGATTCAAGGGGAGGGCCCAGCCAGCTGGGAGTGCCATTTAAGGCTATCTAGAGGTGCCATAATCGTAAATTTTGGGGTGAGTACAGCATTTATGTGCTCGCTAGCACGACAAGCTGCTGCTATTTAACTGCAACGTCCTAGAAATTTATTACTGATTGCAAAAATTGCAGTGCCATTTCGTTGTGCTACTGTAGACTGTGAGAAAAACATGGAGGTAAAAAAATTAGGAATTAAAAGTTAGGTGCGAAAATCCATTAGTACCGTCTATGTTAGGGATAACAATCAAGGAACAAGTGTAATTCCAAGTATTATGAAAATTCTCACTGGTAACTGATATCATAAGCCTATTTATTTGTAAAGTAAGTATAGTCTATATCAGGGGTGGGCATAAAAATCGGTCAGAGGGCCAAAATGAATTTTTTATTTAACACCGAGTGCTGCACTTAATCTTTGATGTTTCTATCCAAAAACCTCAAAGCACTGCTTTTACACTACTTAATTCTCAGTATGTTACTTTTTACATATAATCAGTGTCGGGCTGTAAAAATTAAGGTGTTTTCTAGCCAATGTTGCTTGGCGGGCTGCACACACAGGGTTTTTACTTCATTTTCGCACACCACAAAAAAATCATTGTTGGGCAGCATGCGGCCCTCAGGCCTCATTTTTGCTCACCTGCGGTCTACATTTTAATAATAAGACAAACGTAACACATTTAATTTCTTGATTTTAATGTTAATACATTGGACGGAACTGGTTCACAGCCGAAACAGATGGCGCAGTGACCTTTTTTTTTTAAACTGTACAAGTTCCAGTCTGTATAGTAAGGCCTGCACGGGGAAAATAACCTCCAGACAAAAATTTGGTCTCGGAATCCGTCTGCGCATTTCGGAAAATAATGGCCGATTTCCATACAAATTTTGCCAAAAATCAGGCTTTGACCTAATTTTAGTATGTAAACGATGCATATGCAGCAATACAATTCTGCACACCTCTTTTTATAGTAATTTTCCTCGCAGATTTTGAGCTGGTTTATCAGGCATCATCATCCACGCAATTAAAAAAAACTTTACAGCAGTGCCAGTATGCAAGTTGACGTCATATCACATATTATCCAATACAAAAAAAAATCATATTCAACTCTTTTTTCTATCACATTTTATGAGATGCTTTTGATGAAATTTGATAGTGTACACAAAGCTTAAATTTATGAATGTTGGCCTACTGTACTATACAATGAATCCACGGTGTACAAAAATCAAAGAAAGTGGTTATTCGCACGGTATACCGTGCGAATAAGCTCTTATGAGTCTTATTCGCATGGTAGACCTAGCCAATCAGCATTTGACGTTTCATGACGTCTAATCTAACCCTGCCAATAAGTTCTTATTCCCAATTAGCACGGTACATCGTAAATTAACAATATTTAACACAGTATCGTCTCAAAAGACCTAAATATTTTAAGAGAAATTTACTTATTTGTTACGGAATACCTAATCGAACCGAAATACCTTTTCAGATATCATACAAACATTGTCTACCGTGCAAATAGTAAATAATACAATATTCGCACGGTAGACGTAGCCAATCAGCATCGAAAACACTCCCACACATTGGAAAAGGTAAAAAAGGCAGTGAAGAATGTACATCAATCTTATTTTCCAGTACATATATTCGGTGGCGGATCCAGATTTATTATGGTAGAGAGGGATTAGGA